GATGAAAGAAATAAAAGCTGAAATAAATAATTCTCTCTACTATTATTCTTACGTTTCACATTCTTAAAATAAAGTGGTGATCCTAACTGACCTAAAACAGGGAATTTTTGCTAGGATTAAATGTCAGGAATTGTGAAAAACTGAGTTTAAATGTATTTGGCTAAGGTGTATGTAAACTTCCGATTCCAACTGTAGGTAGCTTTGGTCCTTTGATAGGAGATTTAAGATGGCCATTCAGGTTGGAGTAGTGAACTGATCTGAAAATCCAGTCAATAAACTGGGTGTTTTTATAACTTTCAGGAAATGCTGAGGCAAAAAATGTAATGCTATTATAACTTCCTTACGCCTCAAACACACCGACAGCGACATTGCGTTTTTGTACAGCAGAAGTACATTCATTTCCAAAGGAATACTGCATTTTTCTTGCAGCATTGCGTTGCTGAGACAGTTGCAGTGCATTCTGTGTTGTGCATACATTGTATTTATCAAACGTATGCATCAAATTGTGTGGCAAAATGGTAGCAGAAGGTGAATGTTGAACTTTTGTTGCACACATATCCAGATGATGCTTCATGCCATTTTGCGCAATGACGCTGTCGGTGTGATTGATGCGTTAGGGCTATTGTGATTACAGAAACACTGCATGTTCTTGTTTGACTGTCCTTTTTAAGCACCCGTTTGACTTGATTGAGGATAAGGAATTATGGCCGCTCCATTGTAGCCTGGCTAATCAACACTAGCTACATCGTTGCCTTGCCAAGACAACAGCAAATTGGCTAAAGGGCAATTCCACGGGAACAAAATTATGCTTTCACTTAGTTTTTTCACTTTCAAATGTATGCCAAACAAAATAACATTGATTTCAAAGTTGACCAAACCATAAAAATCTATGCACAATGACTTTGGTAACGGAATTACAGTAAAATCTCACTCAGGTTATGAGACCACATTTTCCAAAAACTCTGATAAATATCTGCTCCGAATTAAGATTCAAAGATGTCTGCAGAAAGAATGGGGTGTCAGCTATGACATGGCACTTTGAGTTAAACATTTTTTATTTTGGTTATTGAACTACAGTAAGTGAAGTGGATTTACACCCGGTAACATAATTATGGTAATAACATTACAACATGGGTCCCTGATCTGTACTACACAGAAATGCATAATTATGGATATATGAATGTCATTCTCCTCATATTTTACAAGTTTGAACATCACAGTGCAGCAGAGGACAGTGCATTACAATACAGCAGAGTAGAGTTCTGTAAAGTATAGTGCTGTATTGTACTGTCCTATAGTATACTGTACTATTGTATTGGGCTGTACTGTACTCTACTCACTGTACTGCATTGTGCTGTGCTCTACTCACTGTACTGTACTGCACTGTGCTATCCAAACTTAGGTCTATGATTTGGTCAAGTCCGTTTTGTCTGTGGATGTTAACATCAAAGCCAGGGTGGCCTGCCCAAATGTGAACTACTTTTCAATGTCCATGAACGTCCGGTGTTGGTTGGTGCTCAGTGGGTGAGGATGATGGTCAAGTAAATGGAAAGAGAGGGGGCTCATGGGTAGGTGTCAGTAAGAGCTGGAAGAGATGACATTAACTGGGACTCAGACTGTTTTAACACTCTTGGTTTGACTGCCAGTCAACAGAAATACAAAGAAATCAGTTATGAGCTGAACATAACAGTGTGCCAGTGGAAGGGAGGACAATATAAGGTGACTCAACTGTGGATTGTGACTTATTATTTCCCATTGTAGCCAATTCCGTTGCAGTAATTCCGTTACTGATTTTGTTTGGGTGATTCCGTTACCAATTTGGTAATGGATTACGAGTTTTAATCACTTAACAATTCGTAAACAAAATTGATATCAGTAAAATCACTGTAATTAATTGGTAGGTCTACCATTACTTGTTACTTCTGTGAACTTTCATTATCCTCCCTCATGAGGGAGAGAAATTAGGAAATATCTTAAAGCTATGTCCGTTTTTGGTAACAGAATTACAAGGCACAAGACAATATTTCTTAAACTTACAGAAGGTAAACAATTTCTCCAATACTAAATATATGTGTTGATATTAGTTGGAAGGGGTCTTTACGTCAACATTATTTTGTTTTGATGTATTTCTAATACCATTTAAGACTTTCTGGTAGATGTTTTCTAAGACTCCTTTTCCATTTGTTTATCCAGAAATCAAAGCCTAATTTTTAAGATGGAAAATGGTTGAAAAATGTATCTATGCCTTAATTCCCCCAAAATATATACTCTTAGCTTTCATTTGACACAATTACAGTGGGGGAAAAAAAAGTATTTAGTCTGCCACCAATTGTGCAAGTTCTCCCACTTAAAAAGATGAGAGAGGCCTGTCATTTTCATCATAGGTACACGTCAACTATGACAGACAAATTGAGCATTTTTTTTCCAGAAAATCACATTGTAGGATTTTTAATGAATTTATTTGCAAATTATGGTGGAAAATAAGTATTTGGTCACCTACAAACAAGCAAGATTTCTGGCTCTCACAGACCTGTAACTTCTTCTTTAAGAGGCTCCTCTGTCCTCCACTCGTTACCTGTATTAATGGCACCTGTTTGAACTTGTTATCAGTATAAAAGACACCTGTCCACAACCTCAAACAGTCACACTCCAAACTCCACTATGGCCAAGACCAAAGAGCTGTCAAAGGACACCAGAAACAAAATTGTAGACCTGCACCAGGCTGGGAAGACTGAATCTGCAATAGGTAAGCAGCTTGGTTTGAAGAAATCAACTGTGGGAGCAATTATTAGGAAATGGAAGACATACAAGACCACTGATAATCTCCCTCGATCTGGGGCTCCACGCAAGTTCTCACCCCATGGGGTCAAAATGATCACAAGAACGGTGAGCAAAAATCCCAGAACCACACGGGGGGACCTAGTGAATGACCTGCAGAGAGCTGGGACCAAAGTAACAAAGCCTACCATCAGTAACACACTACGCCGCCAGGGACTCATCCTGCAGTGCCAGACGTGTCCACCTGCTTAAGCCAGGACATGTCCAGGCCCGTCTGAAGTTTGCTTTTTGGATGATCCAGAAGAGGATTGGGAGAATGTCATATGGTCAGATAAAACCAAAATAGAACTTTTTGGTAAAAGCTCAACTCGTCGTGTTTGGAGGACAAAGAATGCTGAGTTGCATCCAAAGAACACCATACCTACTGTGAAGCATGGGGGTGGAAACATCATGCTTTGGGGCTGTTTTTCTGCAAAGGGACCAGGACGACTGATCCGTGTAAAGGAAAGAATGAATGGGGCCATGTATCGTGAGATTTTGAGTGAAAACCACCTTCCATCAGCAAGGGCATTGAAGATGAAACGTGGCTGGGTCTTTCAGCATGACAATGATCCCAAACACACCGCCCGGGCAACGAAGGAGTGGCTTCGTAAGAAGCATTTCAAGGTCCTGGAGTGGCCTAGCCAGTCTCCAGATCTCAACCCCATAGAAAATCTTTGGAGGGAGTTGAAAGTCCGTGTTGCCCAGCGACAGCCCCAAAACATCACTGCTCTAGAGGAGATCTGCATGGAGGAATGGGCCAAAATACCAGCAACAGTGTGTGAAAACCTTGTGAAGACTTACAGAAAATGTTTGACCTGTGTCATTGCCAACAAAGGGTATATAACAAAGTATTGAGAAACTTTTGTTATTGACCAAATACTTATTTTCCACCATAATTTGCAAATAAATTCATTAAAAATCCTACAATGTGATTTTCTGGAAAAAAAAATCTCAATTTGTCTGTCATAGTTGACGTGTACCTATGATGAAAATGACAGGCCTCTCATCTTTTTAAGTGGGAGAACTTGCACAATTGGTGGCTGACTAAATACTTTTTTTCCCCACTGTATATATGCGCCTATGAACTTCACATGTTGGTGCTCATGGGTCCTTTTCGATGGAAATGCCCTAAAGCAGAGACACTGGCACCTAGAAGGGCTTACTTCTCAGGCTGCCTGGCACCCACTATATATTTGTTTATGATCTGTCCTATCCCCATTTGACATCTGTTAGATTAACTCACACAGACCCAAGCTAGGCCTAATCAAATACTCTATATAGGTAACAGTATAATATTCTCTTTACTGGCTCTCTTGTGCAGCACAGTCCAGCACAGTTCTGAAACGCTACACAGCTGCTCACATACCAGTATACGAAGTATATTCTCCCAACTGTTGGTTGTGGGTTTACAAGGAGGGAGTGGAAACACATGAAGCAGCTGATCTTCAGTAGTAGGCTTTTGTTGCTTTGCGGTTGAGATTAAAGTGTAGCAAGTCTAATCATGTGGCTGATGTCCACAGAGGAGTATATTTCATTTACTTGTTATTGTTAGGCTGACTTCCATAGTTTTATCACCTGTCAGGAGTGGGCTAGTCACAGGTAGTCATATTGAACTTGGCTTTGTTTTTGTTATGCTAATGCTTGGTTTTGAATGAAAATAATAAGATGGAAAGGGTCCCCTCTCCTTCTCTCCTTCCACCCGCGCTGCTTTTCAATTTCTGGTGCACACAAGAGTCTCATGGACATGAGAGGAAAAAGGATAAATTAAATTGGCTTTTTATTACATTTTTCCCACTGAAGAAAACGTCTCTCATACACAAAGGAAGGTTTTTTGTGAGAAAATGTATTTTTAATTGATTTAATCTGCACTATGATTGTGTACCTTTTACAATAACCTTTTTGAAATAATTGTAATAGATGCTGACTCATTTATTGTCCTTGTGGAATATTTTTGTGATTGTGTAATTTCTTTCATTATCGTCATTCAGTTTTTTTTCCAACATTATCGTCAGTCAGTTTTTTTCAACATTGGCTCGCTGCGTCAATGTGAGAATATCCATCTGTAGCCTGTAGATATCAAGGGCACAGCTGCAGTCTTTTACTAATATAACTTAAAGACCCTCAATTGAGCAAATGGAACAAAAACGGCCGTGCATTTTTAAATTTAGTATGTTTTTTGGATGAAGTAGGCACTTTTTGACAAACCGTATTTGGCATTTGAATATTAATGCCATCTAATGAACACTTGAGGGATGTTTGTGAAGTTGCCCTTCCAGAGTGAATTTGGCTCCCAGGCCTAATCTTTCATGGCCCTTCTGTTCATCCTTTCTAAGTTTTTCACCCGTCCTTCAATTCACCATTATTACCAACCTCTTCCACCTTATGCTAAAAATAACATGAAAATGTTGAACAATTGAAAATACAGTGAGGGGAAAAAAGTATTTGATCCCCTGCTGATTTTGTTCGTTTGCCCACTGACAAAGAAATGATCAGTCTATAATTTTAATGGTAGGTTTATTTTAACAGTGAGAGACAGAATAACAACAACAAAATCCAGAAAAACGCATCTCAGAAATGTTAGAAATTGATTTGCATTTTAATGAGGGAAATAAGTATTTGACCCCCTCTCAATCAGAAAGATTTCTGGCTCCCTGGTGTCTTTTATACAGGTAATGAGCTGAGATTAGGAGCACACTCTTAAATGGAGTGCTCCTAATCTCAGCTTGTTACCTGTATAAAAGACCTGTCCACAGAAGCAATCAATCAATCAGATTCCAAACTCTCCACCATGGCCAAGACCAAAGAGCTCTCCAAGGAGCTACACAAGGCTGGAATGGCTGGATTGTAGACCTTCCCAAGGCTGGAATGGGCTACAAGAACATTGCCAAGCAGCTTGGTGAGAAGGTGACAACAGTTGGTGCGATTATTCGCAAATGGAAGAAACACAAAATAACTGTCAATCTCCCTCGGCCTGGGGCTCCATGCAAGATCTCACCTCGTAGAGTTGCAATGATCATGAGAACGGTGAGGAATCAGCCCAGAACTACACGGGAGGATCTTGTCAATGATCTCAAGGCAGCTGGGACCATAGTCACCAAGAAAACAATTGGTAACACACTACGCCGTGAAGGACTGAAATCCTGCAGCGCCCGCAAGGTCCCCCTGCTCAAGAAAGCACATACACAGGCCCGTCTGAAGTTTGCCAATGAACCTCTGAATGATTCAGTGGAGAACTGGGTGAAAGTGTTGTGGTCAGATGAGACCAAAATCGAGCTCTTTGGCATCAACTGAACTCGCCGTGTTTGGAGGAGGAGGAATGCTGCCTAAGACCCCAAGAACACCATCCCCACCGTCAAACATGGAGGTGGAAACATTATGCTTTGGGGGTGTTTTTCTGCTAAGGGGACAGGACAACTTCCCTGCATCAAAGGGACGATGGACGGGGCCATGTACCGTCAAATCTTGGGTGAGAACCTCCTTCCCTCAGCCAGGGCATTGAAAATGGGTCATGGATGGGTATTCCAGCATGACAATGACCCAAAACACACGGCCAAGGCAACAAAGGAGTGGCTCAAGAAAAAGCACATTAAGGTCCTGGAGTGGCCTAGCCAGTCTCCAGACCTTAATCCCATAGAAAATCTGTGGAGGGAGCTGAAGGTTCGAGTTGCCAAATGTCAGGCTCGAAACCTTAATGACTTGGAGAACATCTGCAAAGAGGAGTGGGACAAAATCCCTCCTGAGATGTGTGCAAACCTGGTGGCCAACTACAAGAAACGTCTGACCTCTGTGATTGCCAAAAAGGGTTTTGCCACCAAGTACTAAGTCATTTTTTGCAGAGGGGTCAAATACTTATTTCCCTCATTAAAATGCAAATCAATATATAACATTTTTGAGATGCGTTTTTCTGGATTTTTTTGTTGTTATTTTGTCTCTCACTGTTCAAATAAACCTACCATTACAATTATAGACAGATCATGTCTTTGTTAGTGGGCAAACGTACAAAATCCGCAGGGGATCAAATACTTTTTTCCCTCACTGTACATATATCATTTTGGGCTTTTGATGTGGTCTTTAATGTTTTGGCTGACTTCTTGTACCCTAAACTTCTCCATCTGTTTCTCCCTCTCAGTCTAATCAAAGCGGGCAACAAGCCCCAGACGACACCGGGAGGGAAGCCAAAGAAAGCCACCACCTTCCAGGAGTTTGAGAGCATCACCAGCGATGCCTGGGAGGTGGGGGACGATGACGACGAACTGCTCGCCATGGCCGCACAGAACCTCAACATTGAGGTCGTCATGGAAACCGCCAACAAGGTGATTTCTATGATGTGAACATACAATGCAGTCAGTCGTCCTTGGGTGTTTCAAATACGCTTATTATGCACTCATAAGCCCTTTTTATATTAACTTATAAGCCCTTATAATACATTAAGCTGTTTTTAAGGAGTAAAAAAAAGAAATCTTGTTATTATCATTATGCAGGTGATTGAGAACCACAGCAAGCAGCAGGAGAAGCAGAGACAGGACGATGCCGACGCGTCAGAGCTGGAGGAGAGAGAGGAAGAGGAGGCGCATGAGGAAGAGGTGGAAGAAGAGGAAGAGCAGGGGGAGGAAGAGGAGGAATCGACCCCCGAGGTGTCGTTTGCCTCTGAGCCCAGCCCGCTCAGCGATGGCAGACTGATGAAGTCACTGAGTGAGGCCCCCATTGGATCACCTAAGGGTAAGTAGATACAGTGGGGAGAACAAGTATTTGATACACTGCCGATTTTGCAGGTTTTCCTACTTACAAAGCATGTAGAGGTCTGTAATTTTTATCATAGGTACACTTCAACTGTGAGAGACGGAATCTAAAACAAAAATCCAGAAAATCACATTGTATGATTTTTAAGTAATTAATTTGCATTTTATTGCATGACATAAGTATTTGATCACCTACCAACCAGTAAGAATTCCGGCTCTCACAGAAACTGTTAGTTTTTCTTTAAGAAGCCCTCCTGTTCTCCACTCATTACCTGTATTAACTGCACCTGTTTGAACTCGTTACCTGTATAAAAGACACCTGTCCACACAAAAATCCAGAAAATCACATTGTATGATTTTTAAGTAATTAATTTGCATTTTATTGCATGACATAAGTATTTGATATATCAGAAAAGCAGAACTTAATATTTGGTACAGAAACCTTTGTTTGCAATTACAGAGATAATATGTTTCCTGTAGGACTTGACCAGGTTTGCACACACTGTAGCAGGGATTTTGGCCCTCTCCTCCATACAGACCTTCTCCAGATCCTTCAGGTTTCGGGGCTGTCGCTGGGCAATACGGACTTTCAGCTCCCTCCAAAGATTTTCTATTGGGTTCAGGTCTGGAGACTGGCTAGGCCACTCCAGGACCTTGAGATGCTTCTTACGGAGCCACTCCTTAGTTACCCTGGCTGTGTGTTTCGGGTCGTTGTCATGCTGGAAGACCCAGCCACGACCCATCTTCAATGCTCTTACTGAGGGAAGGAGGTTGTTGGCCAAGATCTCGCGATACATGGCCCCATCCATCCTCCCCTCAATACGGTGCAGTCATCCTGTCCCCTTTGCAGAAAAGCATCCCCAAAGAATGATGTTTCCACCTCCATGCTTCACGGTTGGGATGGTGTTCTTGGGGTTGTACCCTTCTTCTTCCTCCAAACACGGCGAGTGGAGTTTAGACCAAAAAGCTCTATTTTTGTCTTATCAGACCACATGACCTTCTCCCATTCCTCCTCTGGATCATCCAGATGGTCATTGGCAAACTTCAGACGGGCCTGGACATGCGCTGGCTTGAGCAGGGGGACCTTGCGTACGCTGCAGAATTTTAATCCATGACGGCGTAGTGTGTTACTAATGGTTTTCTTTGAGACTGTGGTCCCAGCTCTCTTCAGGTCATTGACCAGGTCCTGCCGTGTAGTTCTGGGCTGATCCCTCACCTTCCTCATGATCATTGATGCCCCACGAGGTGAGATCTTGCATGGAGCCCCAGACCGAGGGTGATTGATCGTCATCTTGAACTTCTTCCATTTTCTAATAATTGCGCCAAAAGTTGTTGCCTTCTCACCAAGCTGCTTGCCTATTGTCCTGTAGCCCATCCCAGCCTTGTGCAGGTCTACAATTTTATCCCTGATATCCTTACACAGCTCTCTGGTCTTGGCCATTGTGGAGAGGTTGGAGTGTGTTTGATTGAGTGTGTGGACAGGTGTCTTTTATACAGGTAACGAGTTCAAACAGGTGCAGTTAATACAGGTAATGAGTGGAGAACAGGAGGGCTTCTTAAAGAAAAACTAACAGTTTCTGTGAGAGCCGGAATTCTTACTGGTTGGTAGGTGATCAAATACTTATGTCATGCAATAAAATGCAAATTAATTACTTAAAAATCATACAATGTGATTTTCTGGATTTTTGTTTTAGATTCCGTCTCTCACAGTTGAAGTGTACCTATGATAAAAATGACAGACCTCTACATGCTTTGTAAGTAGGAAAACCTGCAAAATCGGTAGTGTATCAAATACTTGTTCTCCCCACTGTATCTGTCGCACGTTTCTCTCTTCTCGGTCTCTCTCTCCCTCTCTCTATGTCTCTCTCTCTCTATCCATCCATCAATCAACAAATAGACAAACAAATGTAATCGTCAGGTGAGGTGACAGATGTGAGGAACAACTGCCTAACAAGGAAGGAATCTTGAAAGGAGGAATCCCACTCCATAGGACCCATTCTCTCCTCTGTCTCCAGTCTCCACCCACTCCTTCTATACACAATATTTCCTCTCCCCCTGCCTCTGCTATGAGCCTGCTAGGCTTTTCATGTTCATTCGTTAGTGTGGTAACAGCAGCAGCAGCATAGGGTGGGGTTTGTGTTGTGTTGTGCAGTAGGGAACAGCTGTCTGTCGTCTGTCTGTGGTGGTGCCGGAGATAAGACAGCAGCCTGTAGCAGCCCAAACCCCAGTAGTTATCTCCATGGAGGAGACACTGGCAGAGCAGATACTGTCTCGTGTCTGCTCCATTCATCTGTGTTGTTCAGTACACACGCGCACACACACACGAAGACAGACACGCACGTCCGACGCACACAGACACACTGCCCCCTGCTCACACTCTCCACTTCCTGCTGGGTGAGACCACATATTGTTTCTCATTGTTCTGCTCTCTATTATTGAGTCTACTGTAGTGTTTGGGTAAATGATCAATCATGGTGATAATGCAGTGCCTGTATAGCTACCCCCTCTCTTCTTGTTCTTTGCCTGCACGAAGTGATAGCACTCACACACTCCCCTTTGCAACCTTGGTGTTCATTTTCCTTTAGTCACATCACTATAATCTTGTTGTGTCTGTCTGGTAGCTCCTCTCTAGCCCCTTCTCTCCTCTCCCGTCTGTCTAACCTGGCACTCCCCTCCCTCCACGCTCTCTCTTCTCTTCCTCCCTGCCTACTGATGTGTTGTTGTCTGCTGCTGTGGTCTGTCTGTGGACCCAGCTGCCTGGTCCTACATTAGATAATGGCCCACTGCAAGGCTATCATTAGGCATCAGCACCCAGGCTGCTCTCTGCTAATGGACAGACAGACAGACAGAGAGTGGCCTGACCGCAGCCCTGCAGCACTCTACACCCTCTCTGGGTGTCCTCCACTGTCCTCTACCTTCTGCTGCTGCGAAAAACCTCTACTCTGCCCTGTAATTGTCTGTAATGGGGGTTTGCTGTTGCTGGAGTGGAGAAAGGTGGTTGGGTTACACAGTGTTTGTGTGTCGTTTGTGTGATGTGTGTATTCAATGGGTGTGCTCGGAGGAAAGGTGCTTGCAACAGGTGTGCGTGTTTGTCTGTGTGTTTTTGCGTGTGACCAAGTGTGTGCATCTGTGTGTGTGTGTGTCTGCGTGTTAATTGTTCTCAGTACCTCTCCCCTCTCTCTGTTTACCCAGATGCGGCCGGAGAGAGAGTGTCGCTCCACAGACAGCAGTCCCTGCCCCACCGGCCCACCATCCCCATGGTGGCTCGTATGGCTGACCAGAACACCTCCGGGACCCCAGTCATGACAGAGAGAGAGGCCTCCCGCCTGGACAAGTTCAAACAGGTTCTGGCTGGACCCAACACTGACCTTGGTATGTTGCTGGATATTAATTACAGATCTAAGATCAGACGCCTGTAGGAATGGTGGTCGTAGGGATCATTGAACCCACAACCTTTTGAAGCTCTGATATGTGATTTGTGTAGGAATGTTACCACTCAACCACATAGGTGCACCCCAATCCTGAACTAAACCATTTAGTGGGAAAGATATCTGACCCTGTATCATTGCTGTGGGTTACAACACTTCCCTGTCTCACCTTGCTAAAATAAAGACATCCTCTTTAAAAAAAATTGAAAACACAGTTCACAGCTCTGTGGTAATGAACTCCATCTGAGAAAACAGGCAGTGAAACATCTGCGGTGTTGTTCTAACGACGCCATATGAATAGCTGATGGGGAACTAAACTCTGCCATCTGGCCAGTGGCCACCGTGCATAATCCAAGAGACTCAAATGATGCTTTTAGTTTTTACTTGCTCGCTCTATAGCTTTACTTCTACTGGACTCCTTTGAGATTAGATGGTGCTTTAACTTGTGATCCAAGGCCATAATGATGTAACAGCAGTAGCTTTGGTATAGTTCTTCTATGGGCATTTGTATGGCCGATTGTAAAGTTTTATGGGTTATGCTTTCAACTTCTACCGGATATTCTATGGAGGATTTAAAGTTCAATGGGCGATTTGAAGGATTCTATTCACGCTTTGACTCCCACTTGTTCTCCTGTAAGTTTCAAGGTCTTGTTCTTTGTCAGTCCCCAAATCCTGCAGCATCTGTCTGTCTTATCAGCTCCGTCCTGGAAAGGCGTGGGGGCAGATTGGTAATGAGTTGCATTGGAGCTGCTCAGGTGTGTGTGCGCGCGCATGTGTGTAAGTGTTGTTAGACTCGCTCTTAGCCCTTTTGTACCCTTGATGATTTTCCCTGCAGTCGGCTTTTGTAATGCTCTGAATATCCTTTGATTGTGCTGTGTGATTGTGTGTGTGTGTGGTCTGTTCCGCCTCAATGATTCCAGCTTCCGTCGTTGTGCCTGAGCCAGAGGTGAAGGTGTCTTAGTGAGGTTATACCTGTGAGGGAGTCAATGCTATTGTTTGAGTCATTGTGATAGCGCTGATTCAGCCCAGTGGCTGTATCATTTTGTGAGGCTTAGTGTCACTGACTGTCTGTCTGGTCTATACAACCTGAGGTGAGCTATAAGTCATGAGGTGGTTCAGGGTCGTGCCGAGACATATGAGGGAGTAGGAGTGGGGTAAGTGAGGTGCTGAATGTCAAAGAAGACGACGTCCGATTTGAAAGGCAAAGACCATAACAGGTTCACCTTTTTAGCCACCCATTCCATTTTCAATAGACACATGTAACCGGGACAACTCATGACCAAAGAAGGGACTCAGTTGATACACAACCTGTGGCAAGGTTTTTTTTTTTTCTTCAAGTTTTAAGCGGTTGTTCAAAACCCAACAATGCAATAATCAATAACAATATATTACTAGAAAAAAACACACAAGAAATAAGAAGAGGAAATATGAAATACACAAAGTAAGCACACTATGTAAAGGAAATATTTAAAAAGTAAGTTCCAATACCATATTTACATGTGCAGGGATACTGGAGTGATGGAGGTAGATATTTGTAGGGGTAAGGTGACTAGGCAACAGGATATAAGATAAACAGAGTAGCAGCAGCTTGTTTGTGAGTGGGTGTGCGGGTGTGTAGAGTCAGTATAAATGTATGTGCATATTATGTGTGAATGAGCAGTGAGTGTTTGTGTGTGAGTTAGTGTGTAGGGCCCTGTGAGTGTGCATAGAGACAGTGGAAGATTTAAATAAAAGGTCAATATAGATACAAGGTTAACTCAGATAGTCCGTGTAGCTATTTATCAGTCGTATTGCTTAGGGAGAGAAGCTGTTCAGGAGCCTGTTGGTGTCAGACTTGGGTGGTTGGAGTCTTTGACGATTTCCCGGGCGTACTATTCATACTGCCTGGTATAGAGGTCCTGGATGGCAAGGAGCTCGGTCCCAGTAATGTACTGGGCTGTCCACACAACCCTCTGTAGAGCCATGTGATCGAGGGCGGTGCTATTGCCATACCAAGCAGTGGTGCAGCCAGTCAAGATGTTCTCAATGGTACAGCTGTAAAACCTTTTGAGGATTTGAGGGCCCATGCCAGACTTTTTCAACCTCATGAGGGGGAAGAGGCACTGTCGTGCCTTCTTCACGACTGTGAGTGTGTGTTTGGACCATTTGAAATCTTTAGTGATTTGGGCACAGAGGAACTTGAAGCTGTCTACCTGCTCCACTGCCGCCCCGTCGATGTGGATGGGGGCGTGCTCACCCCCCGGTTTCCTGTAGTCCATGATCAGCTCCTTGGTCTTGCTGACGTTGTGGGAGAGGTTGTTGTCCTGGCACCACACTGCCAGGTCACTGACCTCCTCCCTGTAGGCTGACTCATCATCGCCGGTGTTCAGACCTACCACCGTCGTGTTTTCAGCAAACTTGATAATGGTGTTAGTAATGTTTGGCCACACAGTCGTGGGTGAACAGGGAGTACAGGAGGGGTCTATGCACACACCCCTGTGTTATGGGTGAGCGTGGCAGAGGTGATGTTGCCTACCCTCACCACCTGGGGTTGGTCCGTCAGGAAGTCCAGGATCCAGTTGCAGAGTGAGGTGTTCAGACCCAGAGTCCTAAGCTTGGAGGGGACAATGGTGTTGAACGCTGAGCTGTAGTCAATGAACAGCATTCTCACAGAGGTATTCCTCTTATCTAGGTAGGTGAGGGCAGTGTGGAGTGCAATTGAGATTGCATCGTCTATGGATCTGTTGGGGCGGTATGCTAATTGGAGTGGGTCTAGGGTGGCTGAGATGATGGAGTTAATATGTGCCATAACCAGCCTCTCAAAGCATGAATACAGAAGTGAGTGCTACAGGGCGGTAGTCATTGTGGCATGAAGCCTTAGAGTTCTTAGGAACAGGAATGATGGTGGTCATTTTAAAATGTGGGGATTACAGACTGGGACAAGGAGAGGTTGAAAATTACTGTGAATGTGCCTGCCAGCTGTTCTGCAGATGCTCTGAGAACGCGCCCTGGAATACCGCCGGGGCCCGCGGCCTTGCGGGTGTTGACCTGATTAAAGACCCTTCTCCCGTCAGCCTCAGAGAGCGAGATCACCCAATCCTCTGGGTCGGTGATGGCCCTCACACCAGGCTCGATGTTGTTTTTGTCAAAGCATGCATAAAATGCATTGAGTTCGTCTGGTAGAGAGGCATCGTTGGGCAGATTACGTTTGGGTCGTCCTTTGTTATCCATAATGGACTGTAGCCCCTGCCACATGCGGCGGGTGTCGGAGCCTGTGTAATATGACTCCATCTTTTTCCTATATTGTCCTTTTTCTCATTTGATCATTCTGCGGAGGTCGTAGCGGGCTTTCTTGTACTTATTCCTGTCTTCGGCCATAACATCAGGGTTGTCTACGATAGCTCTGTGTGTGGTAGCCCTGCTCTTTAGTTTAGCGGCAACCTCTGTGTTAATCCAGTGCTTTTGATTGGGGAAGCAGCGAACCCTCACCGTGGGTACAACGTCACCGATGCATTTTCTAATGAAGCCGATGACAGAGGTGGTTAGCTCATCAATGTTATCGGAGTCTTGAAACATATTCCAATCAGCGCTAGCAAAGCAGTCCTGTAGCATAACCTCTGATTCTGGTGACCATTTCTCAAAGGAGGTACTTCATGTTTCAGCTTCTGCTTGTAAACAGGAAGCAAGAGTACAGAGTCGTGATCTGATTTGAAAAATGGCTTACGAGGGAGGGCCTTCTATGCTTGCTTGTTGGTAGAATAGCAGTGGTCTAGGACTTTATCGCCCAAAGTGGCGTTTGAGACGTGTTGATGGAAGTTGGGCATCACGTGTCTTAGTGACGCCAAATTAAAATCGCCGGCAACCACAAAGGCAGCCTCTGGGTGTAGGTGTTCCTGCTTGTTTATTGCCTTGTACAATTAGTTAAGGGCCAACTTGTTCTTTTTATTGTCCTGAGGTGGAATGTATACAGCAGTCACAATAACAGCTGAAAACTCCCTTGGGAGGTAGAAGGGTTGGCATATTTGACCATCAGGTATTCCAAGACTGGTGAATGGTGGGTCGACACTTCCACCGGGCTGGAATCAGCACACCAGTTGGACTTGATGAAGAGGCAAACCCCTCCCCCCCTCGATTTCCCCGACTCCTCTGTCCTGTCCGCCCGGTAAATGGAGAATCCATCGAGTTGGATAGCCGTGGGGGGTATCTTGTCCGAGAGACATGTTTCTGAAAAGCAAAGAATATTGCAGTTCCCCTTTACAAAAATGTACCATGGTAGTACAATGAAAAAAATTAATGGCAAGCCTAAGATCACTATTCGCAATGACAAGTGTTGGCTGGAGTGGTGTAAAGCTTGCTGCCATTGGACTCTGGAGCAGTGGAAACGCATTCTCTGGAGTGATGAATCATGCTTTACCATCTAGCAGTCCAACAGACAAATCTGGGTTTGGTGGATTCTAGGTGAACGCTACCTACCCGAATGTATAGTGTCAACTGTCAAGTTTGGTAAAGGAGGAATAATGGTCTGGGGCTGTTTTTCATGGTTCGGTCTAGGCCCTTAGTTCCAGTGATGGGAAATCTTACAGCATACAATGAAATTCTAGATGATTCTGTGCTTCCAACTTTGTGGCAACAGTTTGTGGAAGGCCCTTTCCTGTTTCAGCATGACAATTCCCCATTGCACGAAGCGAGTTCCGTACAGAAATGGTTTGTTGAGATCGGTGTGGAAGAACTTGACTGGTCTGCACAGAGCCCTGACCTCAACCCCATCGAACACCTTTGGGAGGAATTGGAATGCTGACTCCGAGCCAGGCCTAATCGCCCAACATCAGTGCCCGACCTCACTAAAGCTCTTATGGCTGAATTGAAGTTTCCCTTTGTTTACACTCTGTGTGATTGTTCGTTGGTCCTGTCGCCATGACTACGACAGGCTAGCTTGACTGGAGCTAACGTTAGCTTCTATGCTA